CTCTGATGGAATAAGTGTTGTGGAAATGCATATTATGCTGAACTTATCATTCAGTTACAAACACTGCTAATTCAATGAGAGCACTAGAAGCCTCCCAAATGGACTCCCACATGTAGCGCCGCTGTCAGAATATTTGAACCGTTCTTTAACTCAGCGGCACCAGCACCTACCATAAACCATTCAACAACTTAATATTGCTGCTGGTACACCCCCCAAGGACAGGACGACCTCGGACAGGATGAAACAACAAGGATCCTGGACAGAAATCTGAATGAACCGTGAATACCGTTGTCAGTGGACACAGACAAAAACCACAGACAGCTCCACTGGGAAGAGATGGATGCTGTCTGTCGACTAGGAGTCAGTGATGACTGAGGAAAGATCAATGGCATTCAAGTCTGACATCAGAAACCATCTTTGAAAGGTTTGATAGTGGAGACATGTTATCATCTCTGCCGACAACAACTATGTTATCATAAGCAAAGAGTCTCCATGACAGTTGCCCACCGATACAGACTGTTGGATGTGGTTTAATGCTCAAGAAATAGTGAGTTGACATTGATTTATTCTTTATTCTGAACTCTTGCTAAACAGCATTATTTAGCATCCCTCTGTGCAATTTCATGTTCATTAAAGTAATGCCAATCAAGTTGTTGAATAGACTGATATAATGAGATGCTCGGTTACAGAATAACGCCTTGATCACACAGAAACACTTCTAGGCTGAAACAAGGGAGAATCTTCGAACAGAGTTCGAATGCAGTCACTACAGGAAGTTTGAGAGTGGGACGATGGAGACAAAGGATGATCAAACGTCGAGGAAGTTAGATTTGCTACATGAAAGAAAGTGAGTGATGAAGAGCAAGAGAAACTCACAGCGGGAACCTGGAATAGCAACACTATCACCTAAACATATAAGATCAAGACAAGCTGCTGTCGACACACTGGAGAAGATCTTTAGAACGATGGTGTTTGATTAAGACTCAGATCCCACTAACAGTCAAAATTCAGATTAGGACCATCAAAAAAAAACGATAAGATAATTTGTATCCGATTAGATTCTCGTTTGCAACAGTGCTGATACCGACAGTGCTGTTTTCGCATGAAATGTAAACCTGGCAGTGGGACATGTTAATGTTACCCATTTATCTTTTAGCAATTAGCCAACATAAGTTGTTTTTTACGATATCATTAAGCTATTGTTTAAGTCTACTAATAAAACAACTAACGTCAATGTGGGAGCGAGGCAGCAAACGTTGGTAACGTGATATCGGAAATGTTATCTAGTATTTTCCTGGGTATTGGTATCGAGTTTGAAATTCTGCACAACCCTAATTCTGAAAAATCTGTAATTAAGACACTTTTCACCCTAAACCTCGGCTGAACAATTAACCACAGTGGGCAGATATTACTAATTAAACCTGTGGAAACATTGCTCTTAGTTTTGGGTTAGTTAAAATGAGTCAGACATTATTTTTTCTCCCTTCCATTAGACTAATCTCAGAGCCAAATCACGGCTAAGGCCAGGGAATGCCAGTGTTTGGAAGCGCTCTCATCAGCTGGGAATTTGAAAAAAGCTCAAGCCTAAGTGTGTTAGTGCATTGTTGTAATCCCTTAAACATAATGGGGATACACAGTTCAGCCAGACTGAACAACAAAAGGGGTGGGTGGTAGGGGGTGCCACATTGGAGTCGGCTGTTAATTAAGATTGATCCAAATCCCAGTTGGATGTGCTGCGCTATAGGATGGCACCACCTTATAAATCTGTGTGACTCACCACCACCTCCTTTCCTCCTGCCTATGTGCCTTTCTCTTTACGCTCTCCTCTCTTCCCTACCTCCGAGGGATATACTCTCGGGAAGGTGTTCTAACGCCTCCACACCTCCTGCCTGGCCTCTATTTAAGATAGAGGACAGGATTCTATTAAGGTCTGACTGTTCAAAAGATGTGCCGCTCTGATCGTCTAACAGCATCTGAAACCCCTTTTCCGTCTGCACCGTGCGTTGAGGCTTCGTCCATGTCGGGTTCTGCTGAACTAGTTCATGCAAAGTGCAGTCTGGGTAAAATGTGGTGGTGGTTTTCATCAGCCACGCTTAAGTAACATGTACCGTGCAAGGTCACATTGTTTAAATGTCACACAGATTTTCAATGGAAGGCGTTTTTTTGACGTTGCACTGGGTTCTACTTGAAAAAGGCCAGAAGTAGTTGAATAAACACACCGAGCAATCCCAATGTGACATTTGTACGAATGGCAGATTGTTGGATTTGGAGAGTTACAGACATTGTTGGGTGCAGCTCTCCTGAAACTGGTGCAGAAAGGAGGACATGAAACACACATTTGACAATCATACCCGCTGGATACATGTGTGAGGTGTGCAGATTTGTGAAAGTGGCCAGTGCTTCATCCTCTCCCCTTGGATCCTCATGTTAGTTGGAGATGCATCATGATTATTGAACATTCATAAATTGTATCTGTTCATTTTAGATTATAATTATAATCAGCATTATAAATGTTGGTTCTGTTTAGTTTAAGAGCAAGGCTTGGATTCTCTTAGTTTTTAGATTTTATTTATAGGACAAGGTGGTGAATATCCCTTGTACATTTGAAGGTCTTCTGCACAAACTAAGTTACCAACCAGTGGGTGTTAGCAGGTGCAGGAAAAGCACTGAAGGGATAGATACATATAACAAGACACATATAACTTCCCCCAAAACTAAAACAATATGTTTGAACATTTCTTTTTCGTCAAGGTTTACATAAGCACGAGTGTTGGTAGATGAAATGTGGATATATATTTCCCAGAATATTTCTTTAACAAATGTTAATGTTTTATACCATATGTTGCATACAATTATCTTTTAAGTTTACCACTAAAAGCCTGTTTGGATGTAAAGAGAAACAGCTGCAGGCCTATATCATTGTGTCATGTACCGCATGTATACAGTGTGGTTCAAGGAAAGATGGACAGCTACTCCCCCAGACTCATAGAAACACCACCTGTATAACACGCAGCTTCTACGGGGCCGATCACAACCACATATTGATTCAGCAACAGCACTCGTACATGGTGAGTCATGCTGTTGCATAAGCCGTTGTCGGAGAACGTGAGAGGAGAGAGAAATACAGCTGCTCTCAGAGACCTTCTGACTCTGTGTGGCCATCAGGATTACCACCCAAATTACAGGACTGCAACTAACAATTATATTGATGGTTTTATTGTTTCTATTTCCAAAGAATAGAATGATTGGCTGAGCTATAGAAAATAAACAAAAATACTTAAATATGTTAATAAAAAATACCAGACCCCAAATCATTGTCTGGTCTGTTTTTTCCTTTGACCAGCAGCCAATAAAATGACTCACAAGGTTATGTATTATGATAAATATGTATAACCCCTAAAAGTATTATCCTCCTAATTGTGAGACGACATTTAAGAGTGTGGTCTTTCAGTTCGGCAGAGTCATTTGTTAATTACATAGATTTTGTAAACTCAATGGTTTGGCTTCACCAGAGACTGTATAAAAAGATGCGGACAACGTGTTGCCACGGATACCTGCAATATCCTGGATAAGGATGCCACCATTTTGGAGCCAGAGTCTGTGCAACAGTGCTCATGGCGTGGAGATCATATAGTTAAAAAATAACTAAATAGAAAAAATATTTTAGAAACATTCGGATCTTTGAGATCCATCGCTTTCAGAACATTTTATTTAGCACATCCTTGTCTTTTTGGTTTGGCCCATGTCCCATCCATTAACATGGAGGAGGAGAACAGGACAGGGTCTAAAGAATGCACATGTAAAAAGTTGGGATCTATAAGCACAAACTTGACTTGTACATGAACTCAGACCCATGCGTACAAACATTTAGGAGACGGGGAAAGTGGCGACGCAGACCTGAGGAGGTGAACTGAAGCAGATAATAGATCCAATTTACCATTAACATTAAACCAGCAGTGTTATTTGTTAACTGTTCCACAAGAACCCTTTAATCGCAAAAGATATAAAACAACCAAAAGCAAATTAGTAGATAACAATGTATAGCAGAGTGCATGTATCACCAAATACCACCTTATCGCTGCAGTGGACGTGACTTTGCTGTCAGGCACAAGGGGCGCACTGGGGACCGCTTTGAAATAAGTAAACTGCGTTCACCTGACAAACTTCCATTCAAGTAATGTCCCAGGGTGGAGGTTAGGGTACAAGTGAAAGTCATGATCAATTTGTTAAGGTGAAAAAGCTAGTTTTTCAAACTCTCCATGTTCATTTCTCACAACCGACTGAATCTGTGGGAGTTTGCCTGTACTTTTTGAACTCTCAGCCAAACTACAGCTACTTATGCCAGCCTGACATTTTGACATTACATGTTTTTCCACGAGCGCTGTGGACAAACACTCTCCCCATGCTAACACGCCCTGAACAGTTGAGGTCGCTCGCAGCTCAGCTTGACTTGGATACAGCTCGCTCAACGTGGGATTTGTCAACAGCAAGAAAACAGCTAGATGAAACTCTTGCAAGCTGCCGACAGACCGACACATCAGTTCAGTAGTGTTGACGAAACATTTGTTAGATTTTCGTCATGCTTTAATAATTGTTCTATTGCTCACTTTTACCTATTTTTGATTTCAATTCCTATGTGCAGAATATTGAATGATACAAGCCAGTCAGGTAAGAAGTAGACAAGCTGCATATACATGTGTATATATATATATATATGTATTTATTTAGTGAAGTAGCAGAAAGACAGGAGCCTGATCCACAAGTGCAATGTCACTCTCACATGCTGTGAAACATTGGAGAGAATGGCAGAGATCTACGTGCTGTTGTCAAAAGCTTTATTAAACATATAGGAAACAGCAAAATCTTCCATTTGCGTAAATCAAATCAGATATTGTTGAAACTGATTACCAGCACAAAACCACAATACAAAGCCATACTGATAAAACGTTCATGGTGTCCGGCCAATTATTTCGACAGTTAGAAAACGAGAGCTGTGTTACCTTTGAACTTGTGGAAGACGGCCCAGAGCTCAGCGATATCAGTGGCAAAGGTGATGTCTGTGTCCAGGACGATGACTCTCTGCAGGTCGGACGGCAGCGTCTTGGTGAGCACCAGCTTCATCAGGCCGTAGATCCCAGAGTAGTGTTTGTTAGGGATCCATGACACCTCGCTCTGAAACACGCAGATGAAACATTGGGATCATTTGCTGTTAAATGGCCTGAATAAAAGCGCAGTTTACATAACATCATTCTTAAAAATGATTCTCCGGAGAAATAAAAACGGGGAGCACATCATCGAGCGCTGCAGGGGAGGAAGTGAAGCTGAGTGCAGCTCTCTGTGTT